CAATTCTTATTCAGCATCGTTCAATCGCTGTTTAGATGTTGAACGATGCTGCGTATCTACCTGTGTTTCGATGCGTGAAAGCATTTCTTATGAGTTCGGGACATTACTAAAATAATCCGGGCAGAATTTTCGAACAAGCTCTAGAAACAGAAGGAATCTTTCCACTAAGTGAGAACCAGGAGGGATAGGACCCTCCACAACGGCAAAACGGTACGGCCTCCTTCCCAGCCGAACGCCACAATGCCAACCTTTGCGGGAACAAGCGAGAAACCCGTGGAGTATCACCTTGAACCGCCCACCAAGGGGGTGGCCCGACCGGCACCTAGGGTCTGGGAACGCGGCGCTGGAGGACAAAACTCACCAGATATGAATCAGACTTGTGCGGAACCGGGTGTTACCGTTTCCATGCGGGAACTTGTCGCAATGGCACGGGAAATAGCGCGGGCAACCCAGAGGTCCATAGGATACGAGGACGGCACGAACATGAAGAATTTTCTCGACCTTGCAGAGTTAGATTTCCTTGAACGGGGGTTGGAAGAACAGCAATGGGGGGAAGAGCTCAAAAGATACCTGAAGGGAGACGCCTTAGGTTACTGGTTGTATTTGCGTCGTACAAGAGAACCCATGACTGATTGGGAGTATCTTAAACAGTGCTTATGCGAGCACTTCGGTTGCATAACTAAGGAACGGATGATAGCTCTGATGGCGGAGAATGTATGGAGGGGCGACCACCGCGCATACTCTGCACGCTTTGCAACAATCGTGGCACAAGGGGTGTCAGTGGCTAGAGAACATTTGGTGGGATTCTACTTGGCCAACCTACCGGACGAAATAGCACAACGATTAACTGAAGAGGGAACAAGGAAGTTTACGGACTGGCAAGAAGCCGCCGCAGCCCTGGCTGCTATGAGGGCACCGTGGAAAGATTTCTGTGAAGACCGTCTCCGATACCGGCGGGAGATGGAGGATGCCCAGCGTAGTCGGGCTTACAGCAGGCGAGATTCAGGATGGAATGATATCCCAGACTTGCGTTGCTATGCGTGCAGCGGAAAGGGACATGCGAGCAGGGACTGTCCGCTCCGTAACGGAGCGACGCGACGAACTGGGGAAACGTGCTCCCGGTGCGGGGGCCGGGATCACTACGCTAGAGACTGTCCTACGTCGGCTCGACCCAGTGCGGAGCCCGCTAGGCCGCCCAGACAACAGCCCCGGCGGCCCAACGTTGAGCAGTCGAGGCATTTAAACGAACGAGCC